TTTGTTTGTTTTGTTTTTTTAAGTTGGAGTCTCACTCTGTCGCCCAGACTGTAGTACAGTGGCCGTTCCCAGCCACTGCAGCCTCGACCTGCTGGGCTCTGGCGATCCTTCCGCCTCAGCCTTCCAAGTAACTGGAATTACAGGCATGCGCTACCACACCTGGCTGATTTTTTTTATTTATTGTAGAGATGAGGTCTCGCTGCCCAGGCAGGTCTCAAACCCACGGGCTCAGGCAATCCACTCACCTCAGCCTCCCAAAGGTGCGGGATTACAGGCTGAGCCACCTAACCCGGCTGAGGTTTTTAACAGGTGTTTGGGTTGTGGGGTCTCTGCCCTCATGAATAGATTACAACTGTTGTTCTCATGAGACTGGGTTAGTTCTTGAGAGCACTGGTTGTCATGAAGTGAGGTACCTCTCACAATTGGTCTCTTTGTGTACACACTGTTTTTTGCTTTCTGCTATAAGTTAAAGCAGCATAAAGCCCTCACCAGAAACCAACCAGATAGGCTGCCTGATCCTGGACTTTCTAGCCACCAGAATTGTGAGCCAAACAGACTTCATTTTCTTTGTAAAGTGCCCAGTCTCAAGTATTCTGTTATAGCAACACAGAAAGGACTAAGACAGAGACATATAATGTCAAGTAGAAATAAGTGCTATGAGTCAAAAAGAACCAGCTTAAGCGACAGCAAGAAGGGAAGCTATTTCAGGCAGGGTAGTTAGCTGAGCTGACTGTGGTAGAAATATTTGAGTATAAATCGGATAAAGTATGGAAATGAGTCATACATGTATCTAAAGGAAGACTGCTTCAGGCAAAGAGGCAGAAGGTGCACGGGTCAGAGATGGAAGCAGGCGGCACAATTCGGGGGCAGCCCAGGCCTCCATAGATTAGCAGGAGGTAGGGTGAGAACATTCTATGGGACTGGATCATCCGAGGATTTTGCATGTCATGGTAAGTTCTGGATTTTAGACAACAAACAAGAAGATACACAGAAAAAAACTAACAGGGGGGAGAGGGAAACAGAGAGGTGGCATACTTGGGTATATGGCTTTATTAGAAAAGACTACTGCATGTGGTATAGATAATGACATGTGGGTGAGGAAGCCCGTAAAGAGGGGAGCCCAAAGGCTACAGCAGACTTGGGGCAGCTTAGACAATAGACAAGCAGGCCCCAATTGGATGTTGGCCCTGGAGACAGGAACCTGTCTGGCTCAGACATTAGTGCTGCTGCAACAGCCTCTCAGACTCCCTCCAAGATTTCTCCATCATAGCATTAATCATAGCGTGCAGTATGTTCAGGACTACTGAGGTCTGTTTCTCACACTAGAATCTCGGCTCTACAGGGAAGACCTCCCACTGAAACTCCTCTGCCTAAGCAAAGTCCTACATCATAGTGGAAGTCAAATATTTGTTCATGAATATATGAATGTGTAAAAAAAGAAAACGGAATTAACCTTTTTCTTTGTATTTGCTTTGCTGCTTAAGACAATTATTATGAGCATTCAACTTGGTAAATCACATTTTAAAGTTAAATACGGCCTCTTCCTCGACACTGCCTACCGAGGTGGCAGCCATCGCCTACCCAGGTGGCAGCCATCTCCTACCCAGCATCATGGCTGCCCTCAGATCCCTGGTGAAACCCAAGATCATCAAAAAGAGGACCAAGAAGTTCATCCAGCACCAGTCAGACCGATATGTCAAGATTAAGCATATATAACTGGTGGAAGCCCAGAGGTATTGACAACAGGGTGTGTAGAAGATTCAAGGACCAGATCTTGATGCCCAACATTGATTATGGGAGCAACAAGAAAACAAAGCACATGCTGCCTAGTGACTTCTGGAAATTCCTGCTCCACAATGTCAAAGAGCTTGAAGTGCTGCTGATGTGCAACAAATCTTATTGTGCTGAGATTGTTCACAATGTTTCCTCCAAGAACAGCAAAGCCATTGTAGAAAGAGCAACCCAGCTGGCCATCAGAGTCACCAATCCTAATGCCAGGCTGTGCAGTGAAGAAAATGAATAGACAGCCCATGTGCACGTTTTATGTTTAAATAAAACCTTAAAAACTGCAAAAAAAAATAAGGGTTAAATACAGTTAATTTGTACGCCCTACAGTGACTGCAGATTTTGCAGAGGACAGAGTGTCTTAGACATTCGGTTTTCTGATTTTCTGAGTTTTTTTTAATCATGATTTTTGTAGGGCTCAGAGCAGGTAGACTGCTATGAATAGGAAGTGTCATAATCTCTATCCACTCGTACATCCAGAAAATGCCACCTCTTCTCTGAGAGTAACACAATTTACCACAGAGAGGAAGCTTAAAGCATCGGCAAAACAACTAATACTGGGTTTTCTTGGGAGATTGCAGAATTTTACCTATTTATGAACTCCCCCTTCTTTACTTAATGGCAGTGAAATTGGTAGGTATTGAATTCTATTGTTGCAGTAATTTGAAACTCACAAAAGAGCCACCGAGTATCACAAATATTATATAAGATTCTACTCTAAGCTGTTGTCTTGGAAGAAATGTTGGGTCAGAATTCTGTGCTACAAGTATGACCTTTGTAAATAAGAAAGTCATGAGAGGCTTTGAATTGAATCAGCCTCACTCTGAAGTTCTTGTAACAACCACCTCAGATACAGGAGAATATCCAGACATTCTGCACAAAAATATCTGACTGAAGTCATTCGGTAGAAATTAAACAGAATAAGAAATTAGAGATGAGATATTACAAGGCATGACTATGTCGTTCAACCTTTTCCTTATCTGCTCCTAGAAACTAGTCTAAAATCAACAAGAGAAGGAAACAGAAATGTACATTCCAATTTTGATAAATGTTTGGAAGAGAAAACCAAAGTATTTGAACAGACTGCTGAAAAAAATCTAGTTCATGTGGGAATCACACAAAAAATAAATAAGAGAGATTTCAGTAGCAAAATGCACCTTCTGCAGATCTCAGAATGCACCATCAAAAATACACTTCTTAAAGCAAGTGACAAACTCTAAGGGACAAAATCTGGAATTATATTTTGCAGGGCAAGCCCTTGTAGTATAGGTTTCCCTCACTACATAAATATTCTAGGAACTCATTGGCATTGGTGTATCAGCTAGTGTTGTGAGAGGCTGCATTCAGCCTCAGTGATATATTTTTTTTTTTTAGATTCTTTCAACATGCTTGCCCATTTCAGCACACCTGATCATACCACACTGAGTGTTCAGTAGTTTTTGACCCAAATCAATAGGACCTTCATGCCCCACCCTCCCTATTCACCCAATCTCGCCCCGAGTGACTTTTTTTGTTGTTTCCCCAGTGAAAAAAAGTCTTCAAAGAGAAACATTTTGCTGATGTGGAAGAGGTGAAACCAAAAAATGTCAGAAGCACTACAAGGAGTCAAAATGGATGAGTTCAAAAACTGTTCTGAGCAATGAAAAAAGCATCTTGATAGGTGTACTGCATCAAACAGAGTATTTTGAAGGTGGCTGAACTTTAAACATGTAAGAATAAATACATAATTTTTATAAATAAGTTATGTTCATTTTTGGGTCCTCCCATCATATAAGTAGGTGTCAAGCTACATGTTAAACTGGATATTATGTTACTGCTTCAATCTTTTTATTGGTTATTGGTTTGTTCAGGCTTTCTATTTTTGAATGATTCAATCTTGGTAGTTTGTAC